TACCATTCCAACTGCCATTAATACCAACATACTTAGCAAAAGTCCAAATACAAATACTGGGTACTCTGAGAAACCTTCTTTGATGTCATAGAAGTAATAACTGCTATCTTTCTTTCCTTAGAGTACCACATTTATTTTTTTTTCTCAAAATTATATAACTTTTGGAATCATTTTACACTTTATCTTGTGGATTTTTCATTTTTTAAGGAACTCACTACTTTATATCTTATATGACAACATAGTTTATCTCTTCTACAAGCTGAGAGAAGTGACCATTTCTACTTCATATTTGTATGTAACAGACACCTGGCAAAGTGCCTCAATATATCTGGACATATCTTCAGTAATTACTTATTGAATTCAATTTCAAGTTGTTTCATTTGTGTCTTTTTTTCTTGGTTTAGGTCAAGAATTTTCTGTATTTGGATTCAATAGAACAATTAAAAGATTATAGTAATAGTGGTGCATGCCTGTAATCCCAGCACTTGGCAGGAGTAGGCAGGAGGATCATCTCGAGTTCAAGGACAGCTAGGCTACATAGTGAGTTCAAGGCTAGTCTGAACTACATGGTGAGACCCTGTCTCAAAAAACAACAAAACAAAACAAAAAGATAATATCACGTAAATATCAGTTTTGTGGTCTTCACAAGTTTATACAAACTTCATGAAGCTTGAAGATCATCCAAAAATTGAAGAAAGAAAGGAAAATGTGGACATGAAGACAAAATGCATTCATATTTAAATGAAATACTGGGTTATGTCCTACAGGGAGACAAAATTTTAGGCACAGTAGAAATGATGATATAGACTAGGAAAGAGGCATCCTGGTATGTTCCCTAGGGATTAAGTGTCTAAACCTCTAGGATAAATAGATGAGCAAGATAACACACAATTTGTATGAATGCAGCTTATAAAAATTTATGTGGTAGATCATACAACTGTAGCCTAAAAAGTAGTGAAGCAGTACTTATTCATGTTTTCAAGTAGCAATCTTATAGTTCAGAGTAATTGTAAATTCACTGCTGTGGTTTTGTCCACTATGTATTACTTCAAAAAAAAAAGCAACAGAAAAATGGCACCTTCCCAGATATAATTGTACTCTTAGAATTGCATTCTTCGAAATACTAATATTACAATTCTCCAAATCACTGAAATTGTAGTAAATGGATAGTTATTTAGTCTTTTAGTCTTTTTAAAAATAACATAGATGGGATCTTTGAAAAGACTCCAGGGCATTTTATCTTCTGAGAGAGCAGATTTTTAAAAAAATAATCTTTATAAGTCCTGTTGGTACATGAGAATAGAATTTTCTGCAAGAATAATGGCTTTTTAAAAATAAAACTTTCTGTGTTCATGGAACTTCCTTGAAAATCCTTTTTGGGTATCTTATAGAATCCATTATTTTGCTATTTTATATTTATATTTGCCATGTATTATTTTAATGTTTAGCTTAGTTGTCATTGTTACTTTCTGGATTGAACACTCACAAGTGCACTAATTACGTTTTATCCTGAACACTATATATCTGCAAGTGTAGTAGCACCTCAGTTCATGAATGCTTCTGATTGCAAACAATTTGGTTTGCAAACAAAACATTTGGCAAAATTTTGATTCTGTTTGCAAACTCTGCATCAGGTGACAAATATGACCATGACCATCTTCCTCACACAAACACAAATGCAGCATCTTCCCCAAAGTCTTAAAACAAAATTTGTAAACTGAGGTACACTGAATTGTAAATATACTCTTTATATATTCACTATATTTCATATCCATATCTAATTCTAATTAAAAGATTATGTATCTATTTTCCATTTGGCAAATAAATTCATCATCTGTTATGTGCCAGTAATTTTTCTTCACATTGAGACACAGTAGCCGACAAGCAAATAAATAACTGTATACTATAATTTCAGGAGAACTAATCATTTCCATGAAGAATACTGAAGCAGGGTGAGTGAACAGAGTGTCAGTAGTGGGAGACTACTTCAAGTTGGGAGTTCAGGTGAAGCCATTTGTTATGGCTCATATCAACAATGAGCTCTAGAACTCTAATGCACTCAGAGGCAGGTCTTTAGGAAAGTGATTGGATCTGAGGGTGCAATAGCTGACTTGCTGTTAGAAGGGTGGGCCTGCTTTGAGGCCATTTGTTTAGGGGCATGACCTGGAAGGGTACATCTGACTCCCTAGCTCTTCTTTTTGCTTTCTGCTTCCTGGTCACCATGAAGGGAGCAGTTTCTTCTGCCTGGACCCTTCCACCATGCCCTTCTTGCCTTGCAGCCAGCCAACCATGGACTGAAAATGTAAGCCAAAGTACACCTCTCTTCCTTTAAGTTGTGGGTGTTGGGTATTGTGTCTCAGCAATGATAAAGTGACTAATTCACCATTCAAGAAGAAACCTAAACTAAATGAAAGAAGAACTATATGCAAAATCTTGGAAAAGACTACTTCATGCAAAAGGAAAAACACATGCAGAGGAATTAGTTTGATATATTTAAGAAATGCTTATTCATTGAGAGAAAGCCAAGAGAGAGTATTATTCCCAAAGCCAAGTGACGAAAGTTATGTTTTGAGAGAAAAGAATGATCAATTGGAGCAAATGGCTCAATGGTCAAACAAAGAGACAGTAATTGACCAGTGATTTTATCAAGATGGAAATTTCTAGCAATCTTGAAAGCAAAGGACCAGCTGGAGCAGTGGGAATAAAGCCTCAGTTTTAACAAAAAGGTAGAGATAACAAGTAGAGAAAATTCCTTCAAAGAGTTTTGTTATAAAAGAAGCAGAAAATGGATGTTTGGAGAGTTAAGTGATGTCAAGGGAAGTTTCTCTGTTTTTGTTTTGACTGCTACTCTAGAGTGTATGTGCATGCAAATGATGCAGTAGGAAAAGAATATATAATATTATAGAAAAGAAGGTAGAAATATTGGTTCAAAGTCTTCAAGTAGGTCAGAGGGTATGGGATCCAAGGTACAATGAGGAAGTTTTTTTTGACAGGAGAATAGCCACTTCATCCAATGAATCAAAAGGGATGGGATGCATCAAATGTGAACATAGATGACAGAAAGCTAATATGGATCATAGAAAAGTGAAGTAATTCTCTTCTGATTTCTCCTGTTTCTCAGATAAATATGCCATTGATAGAGAAAGAAAAGAAAGGAAGCAGTGCCCAAAGTTTGAGGAGGTGGAAGGAGGTATGAAGTGGTTGTATCAAGAGTTAGAGGGGGAAGAAATTAAGAAAATAATGTTAGAATTCTAGAAACTGTTGTTGGTCCTTATAATAGGCAGCTTCTGAGATTGCTCCCAGTGTTTCTTGCCACTTAAGAGTCACACATGTATGCAATTCTCTTCCTTGAATGTGGAATGCACTTACTTGCTTATAACAAATCAAATATGGGAGAAGGTGTGGGGAGACTCTAGCTGGAGGAGTGCTTGAAATGATTGTGAAAAGAAAGGGACCTTAGAGCAATAGTTCCCAGGCTTCTGGAATGCATGGTTAAAGTTTAGAGCAGATCTTCAGGACAACAGTCAGCAGAATCAACAATAAATTATTCTCAGAGATGTTTGTTTTGGCTGTTGTGTCCCCTCTGCCCCAATAAGATCGCTTAAATGAGGTCAACAAACATCACATTATAAACCATCCCATTCCTTTCCTGTTCCCTGACCAAAACTCCTATACAAACGTTGTAAATGCTTTTCTTCTACATCTTTGTTCTCATGTCCTTGAGTTACAAATAGCCTCAGAGATCTTAGCTCATTGCTGTTTCCCTGAAACTTTGGAATAGCCTCTTTAGGCCTCTCATTGATTGAACTAAGTCTCATCTCTGAGTAATCTTTCATCCTTTTGTAGTCACAGTCACATACTGTGACAAGAAGGGACACTGTATCTGACATTAGTTTATAAAATATGTCATCGCTTTTGATATAGATTATAAAAAGATTGTGCCTTCCACCTGAAGTTCTATCTTGGATTGCTTACTTGAGGGAGTAAGACATACTTACACATCTTCAGCAGCAGTGTTGAGTTGCCCTACACGAGTCACGTTAGAAATACATTATCCTAATTCCACTGCACACAAGGCTTAAAAGACCTCAGTTCTGTACAAAATTTTAACTGCAATCTCATGAGAGACTTGAAGAAGAGTCACTCAGCAAAGTTATGTAAAGACTTCTGACCCAGAGAATAGGTGAAGTACTATTTTGTTTTCAGCTGCTAATTTATGGGGGTAATTTCTTATATATCAATAGATCACTAATACATCCCACTTGAAATTTGTGGTCATATATTTAAAAGATAGTGAATGCAGTAATAAATTTAAAATAAGGCAGTTAGAAGTATGTTTTCTTTTCTATTAACACTCAAATGGATAGAAAAAAATAACATAGGTTATCCCTAGATGGTAAGTGAAAAAAGATGAGGTAAAAGGGAAAGATAAAATGAAGATGCATTTTCAGCTGTAACCTATATACTTCTGTATGATTTGCAGTGTTTACAGTCAGCTTATAATCATTCTGTGTATGATTTTTAAAATGTCAATTTTGATACAGCACCACAGAATACAGGCAAAGTAGCTTATCAGGGAAAAGCAAAATCACATTGTTTGATCTGTCTCCAAACTTCAATCTGTGGCATTCTACACAGGGCTGGAAATATTCGCTCTGGAGTATTCACAAGTGCAAGATAAAGCCCTAGGACCATAGTTAAGTGTCTGTTGGCAAACATCAGGTTTTAGGCTCTGGTAGGATAGCAATATTTCTGTTTTTCTGTGGAAATCCTGATGAACCCTATGCTCAAGTTCTATAGCTCCTTCTACTGCTACTGGTAAAGCCTCCTGGAAGCCTTGGTACCTATCACCCGAGTCTTTTTTTACTTTTCTTTGTGAAGAAAACCTTTTGAAGCCCCAGGATAAGAGACATTGTAACATTTGGGTATCGAATATCTTAGGTCAGATTCTCAAAGGCCTTCATTGATGGTGTACCCTATTGTTCTCTTTTTTCTCCCAGGCTACTACTGCTTCTTAAAGGTGTAAATACAAATGAAGAAAAAAATGAGTTCCTGAGTTTTGTTTCCCATGGCCATGCCAAGAATTCTGATGGCAAACTCTTCTGCTGATAATAATTTTCCTGACAGTTGTTCAGTGGACTCTGCCTGGTTTCTAAAAATTATGCACCATAGTTGAAGTACACAAGAGAAAAGCTGTTGTTAATTCACTGAAAATAATTAAAAATTAATCATAACTGCATACAATGTGATTTAATTTCTTATTCTTATTACATTAAAAACTTCTTGGAAGCAGGAATGATATCTTATGTATCCAGCATTCACAGCCACTAAACATTTCTTACTTTGCAGCCAAGCAATGTGTGAGGAAGAGCCCAGCATGGCATGTACATTCTCCTTGGCTACATCATAGTAATATTTCCTTTATTCTTATTTTCCTTCTATCCTGCTTTTCACATTTATTTCCTTTCTACCTGTCTTTGGTCAGATTTTTGCATGCTTCCATTTCCAAAAGTGTATATGATAATATAGGTTGCATTCTAAAACAGCTTTTCACAGTTGAACGTCTCTACAAAAAATGTTTTAGTGTCACAAATTTTATCTAAAAATAGTCTATCATAATTAATAAGCAAAAGTTTGATATTAATATGTTTTCAATCACTTTGTTGTAAACAAATATTAAAAAATCAATGACTTAAGGATTAACTGATGTCTACTATTTTTTTTTTTTTTTTGGTACCGGGGCTCAAACTCAGGACCTTGCAGTTCTGAGGCAGGTGTGGCGCCACTGAGCTAAATCCCCAGCCCAGTTAATGTCTATTATTGACATCTTGCTGTATGTTGTTCAAGTTAAGAGGCATTCTTGAACTCTAGGTCTTCTTGTACTGACCTTCACATGATTCTCCCCCTGGTGAAAACATCCCATTGTCATGGTAGCCATCTCTGCACTCACAGTGGTACCATCCTGGCAGGTTGACACAATTAGCACGGCTGTCACACTGAACAAAGCCATCAGAGCACTCATCGATATCTGTTTGACAAAGAAAACAGAAATTGGGTTTTATACAACTCTTTCAAAGAAATGAGATTATTCTCCTGCAAGGTCACTCTAGTTTTAATGTCAGTAAATCTTTGAAATTGAGACAATATGAAATCACCAAAGTCACCCGGTTGTTAAAAGCTGTGCAGAAATAATGTAGTAGTTCTAGTAACAGGAGAAATGTCTAGAAGGCTTTTCTGTTACAAAAGCCATTCAACTGTAAAAACTGGTAACCACTGGTGCCTCCCACCAAGTATAATATTTCTAGTTCTTCAGGACATGCTCTATCTAGGCCATACTTTTCCAGTTTCTTTAGGTTAGGTATGAGTACTGATAAAGCTCCAATTATGAATGGGTCCAGAATGCTGCGCTCACTTCAGCTTTATATGGTCTTTTCTTCGACCCTAAATGATGCAGAAAATTAATTGTGCCATTTCTTAGTGCTTGGACAAAAGAAAATAGGTTTGAGATTTAAACTTTAGAAGTGAGATTCATTGGAATAAGTCCATGAAGGGATACTTAGAATTTCATTTTAGAAAAATTCAGTTTTTTAAAGTGACTACTAAAAACCTAGAGATTTCTTCACTGAAGCAACATTCCAACTCTAGTTATCCTTCAATTTAATCTTTCTTTCTGCCTTAATGTAATTGTAAGGTTATCTCAGTCCTCATGAAATCAACATATATCTCAATTGTTACTTCTCAACTTATTTTATCTTTTGTTACTCCTAATCCAAGCACTACATATAATTCCACACTGCCTTACCCCACCGCCCACCATCTACATACAGTACAGCACCCTTCCTTGACTATAAATACAGTCTCTGAAGTTTAACAGAAATGCTATGTGCATTATATTACTTTACTGTTTTGAAGATTGGAGATACAAACATAATGTATTTTCATATATAGTTTAAGCATTATTTTATTATTTAACTATTATTACTAGGCAGTACCTTAGAGGGTGAGTACAAAAATATATGCTTCATTCATTAATTTAGCATTAATTGTGTATTGAATACCTGCTATGTGCCAAGAACTCAGTGCTGGGAGAGAAAAGGATGTACAAGATTATAGCAATTTGTGTCCACACTGAGTTTATAATGTATTTAAATTGTTTTATTTTTAAGAAAACTAAATATATAAAAATCTGAATTACAATCCTATAGCACAGTGTTTCCAAACATGTGATGAATCTGTTACTGGTGGCATGGTATATAGATGACAGTGGGAAAATATTTTATTTTAATGACTATATATTTATTTTTCTGGATCATTTCCTTTTATAGCAAGTGATATAGTACAATTATAAAATTAGATTTAAATTTTAAAAGTGAAAGGAATTATAGAAATAATACCAAGTAAATATTGGTATATGTGGTATAGGAATATGACAAAAATTATTAAGTTTTGAGAACATCATACAGTCTAGGGAAATTATTGACATTTCAGGAGAATTTGCTGAGTAATTTCTTATGTACTGAAATGGATTAATTCATGTCAAATATGACTAAATTTTTTAAAAAACCTATATGTCATGGCTTAAGATTACATATTTGTACTATTTAGGTTAGGGAAGAAAACTAGTTATATATGTGAAACTTCATTTTATACTTTTATATTGTCTTGTTAATTGTCTTGTTTTGAGGGATTGTTTTACTATTTTATTTCAGCCTTTTGAGATAACTGTATATTACCATGCAATTGTAAGAGATAATACAGAGAGATCCCATTTACACTTACCCAGTTCCACCCATTGGGAACATCTTGAAAACTATATAGCACAATATCATTCCCAGGATACTGACATTGACACAATCACGATATAGAACAGTACTGTCATACAAATGTTTATCCTTTTACCTTTTCCCCACCAATTCTTTAACCCTTGCTAATCGCTAACATATTCCCCACTTACACTATTAAACTTTTCAAGACTATAATATGAATGTAATCAAACAATATATAACATTTTGGGATTGCCTCTCACATAAATCTCTATGGATTCATCTAGATATTTAGGTGCATCAATAGTTTGTTGTTTATAGAGGAAGATGTACTGGCAATTGAACTCAGGGCCTAGAGAATGCTAAATAAATGCCCTGCCACTGAGCTATATCCCTAGGCCAATTTGTTCTTCTCTATTGCTGACTAGTCTTCTATGGTACAGATGTATCATAGTTTATTTTCATTATTCTCCCACTGAAGTGGATCTAGGTTGTTCCTAAAATTGGACTATTATTTTGTCACATTTATTTTATTTTTAAATGACATATAAAACTGTATGTACTTATTGTGTACAGTCTAGCATGCAGTAGGCTCTGAGTTCAATCTCCAGAAACACACACACACACACACACACACACACACACACACACACACTACTGTATACTATATGTTTAGGTGTTTATATACATTGGGTAATGATTAAACCTAGACAATTATCAAATGCATTATCTTACAGTTATAATTTTTGTGGTAAGAACATTTAATATCCACTCAGCATTTTTCAAGAATACAAAATATTGCCATTAATTATAGTCACCCTGCTAGAGAATAGATCTCTTAAATATATATGATATACATATAAATTTTCCCAACTGCTCCTCCACCATAACCACCCCAGACTTTGGCAACCACTGTTCTACACTCTGCTTCTAATAAGATCAACGTTTCTAGATTCCACATATGAGTGACGGCAAGAGTATATGTCTTTCAGAATTTAGTTTATTTTACTTCACAGAATGACCTCTAGGTTTATTCACGTTGACATGAATAACCAAAATTCATGCTTCTTTATGAGTGAATAGTTTTTTCCAGTATGCATATATGCATTTTTTACCATTCATCTACTGATAGACCTTTAGGTTGATTCCATATCTTGGGTACTGTGACTAATAGTGCAATAAACATGAGAGTGCAGATATCTCTTTGACACATTGATTTAACTTCCTTTGGCTACATACCTAGAATTTGGATTACTGGATCATATGATAGTTCTTCCTGTCTTCAGTTTTTTTGAAGGACTTCTACAGTGCATTACATAGTGTGTAAGGGTCCCCTTTCTTACACATCCTGGCCAATATTTCTGTCATTTATTATAACCATTCTAACAGGAGTGAAATGGCATGTCATTGTGGTTTTGATGTGTGTCCCTGAAAATTAGTGATACAGAACATTTTTACATCAAAAAATGTAATACACTATAAAAATAAATAAGTAAATGTAATGCACTATATCAATAGAGCCAAGGACAAAAACCATATGGTTATCTCCATAGAAGCAGAAAAAGTTGGACAAAATCCAACATGCATTTATGATAAAAACCCTACAAAAAATCCGAATAGATGGTCTCTACCTCAATCTGATAAAAGCCATGTATGAAAAACCAGCAGCCAATATCATACTAAGTGGTTAAAAACTGAAATCCTTCATATTAAAATCAGGAACAAGAAAAGGATGTCTGCCACCACCACTCCTGTTCAATATAGTTTTGGGAACATTAGCCACAGCAATTAGACAAGAAAAAGAAATAAAAGGAATAAAGATAGGAAATGAAGAAGTCAAATTGTCATTATTTGCAGAT